CTAACTGTAAGTCTTTATTGTAATTGAATCTAGCCACATGCTTTTAATTAAAAATACTACAAAATTAAAACTGATGCAATTGTCTGAGAAAGTAAACAATTACACAAAAAAACTGAAGAGAACATCACATGCTAAAGGTCTGCATGCTGTACATACCCCTGCTTTGTGTTTGGACAGATCTGTTCCAAACTGTGCTGGCCCAGCAGTCAAGACCACCCTACCAAAGAATGGGTGAGAAACAATTTGAACAGCACGAGGGGGTAGCTGCTGCTCTTTTTGTTGCTGACTGGAAAGTTCAATCATTTCCTGCATGAATCGCAGACCATCTTCAGCATCAAGTGAACTTGCTGCCTAGGTAGTAAAGAAATGAGGGTAAGCAACTTGGAACATCAAGAGTTTTCCTGCTGCTGTTGAATTCCCCCAAGGGAGGCTGGTGTAGCCACCCTGGGAAAAGTGGGCTGGGAACTTGCTCTGCCAGCCTGTGAAGCTGAAGAGCTGCTGGCAGTGGTTCTCATACCCCACCCCACCTCCAGCTGTACAGCTAATGAGAAGTGAGCTCTGAGCTCATCAGCTGCCTCCTCCTGAGTGAAGGAACTGCTCCAAGTCTTGCAGAGAGGTGGCCCATGCAAAGAGCAGGGGTGGAAGGGGGTGAGGAATAGCAGGGCATAAATTCTTCCAGGGCACCTTATAAAGGTGCTTTTGTGTAGGCTTTTTTCCTCTCTCTATCTTGTCCTTTACTACAATTTTCTGAACAAAATTTCCCCTCTGCTCTTATTTTGCAGCATGCAAATAAAGCGTATCAATACTGACTGTCTGATTACACTAGGGCTTTCACAGGGATGCTAATTGGCTCCTTAAAGAAGCAGCCTTCAAGACTGGTTTGGGAAATGGAGGACGGGACATGAATCCCACAATCTGCTGCCTCAGTATGAGTAAGCCATACCCAGTCCTCTTGGAAAAAGAATGGAGTGGGGCAGTCCACATTAGGATGCTGGAGGACCTAGCCAAACACTATCATCCTATTTGTAACATGCCACACATTCCAACTAAACCACAATACAAAGGAGCAACAAAGATATTCTACATTGTTACAAGTAACATCTTTTTGTCTGGACCACTGGTTTTGGCAGTTCATTATGAGGTAATAAATTGTTTGAATACATGGCATGTTACAACTTATTGTTCCATTCATACTTTCAATGTAATGCTTTCCAGGAATCTTAATGTTTAGTATTTCCAAGTATATTCAAGACTATCAATCTTAATGTATCACAATAGCCTACGGGCCCATTCAGATGTATTAATTTTTAGGTGTAGCTTTTAAAAAAAAAAGGGGAAGAGAGAGAGATGCTAGATTAAAATTTTGCCACAAATGAACGTAAACTTAGTGTCTACTTAATACCAGTATCATCTACATCACTACAGAAGTTTCATGTTAGTCCAGATTTGGACTGAGACCTAATAAAAGCTGTGAGGGACCAGACTTAATGCATACTTCAAGCTAATATTTGTCTCAACTTCCTGTTCATTGTCTTTTTGAATGAAAGTCATTTATGTTTGAAAGAGATATAGCTATTCTCTTCTATTAAAAAAAAACAAAAAAACCCCCAGACAACTAGTTGCTCATCTAAAAAACACACTAGCTTTACAAACAATTTAGTACATGCCTTATTGCAGGGGAAGGCGGCTCCTGGCACACGTGCCAGAGAGTGGCACACAAAGGCATTTTGTTTGGCACTTGTGCCTCAGGGAAGAGCCCAGGGCTGCACTGCTACAACATGGATAGGGCCCCTTGCACTCCCCCATTGTCTGCCCCTAGTACACCAACTTTTACAAAGAGAGGTTGCAGGTGTTTTTGGCACTCTGCCCAAAAACATTGCTGACCCCTACTTTATAGTTTTGTAATTGAATGCATACCCTGTTTGAAGAATACATTTAACCTTCAAGCAAGCCTGAATATATTTGTAATGAAACAAATTCAAATTCTTCAGTTTTTCTCTTATTCCTTGCTTCCTTGAAAGTCTTAATTATAGCACAAAGTCCCTAAACATTCTGGGGGTTGCCAAGTCTGCTGAAGCTCTAAAATCTATTATTTCATTTAAAAAGGAAAGCTTTTGTCCTCAGTGGCAGCAAATAAAAAAACTTTACAAATGTGAACTGACTACCAACTGGATGGTTTGAAGACAACTGAAAAGGCAACTTAAACTTGCAGACCCTTCCATACATTTTTAATGGTGGGTTGGTTGCAAGTGGGAGGAGGATCTAAAGTTAGTGGAAAACTATTTCGCTTCTAATCAAGTTAGCAACAATGTATAGCTAATGTACTTCCACATTGTTCAACTGCTTCCCATGCCTCACAAGTTGCCAAAAGTCCAAGTTGCCAGACAGTTCATTTTCCAGCTACTAAAATTTCCATCTCTCTCCCCAAAAAAGCACCCTTTCAGAGCAGGTTAGGGTTTCAATATAAGACTCCACAGCACACTGGAAATAAGTTTAAAGATCATATAAAACTGAATATCCAATTAAAGACATACAAGGACTGCTAATTTTTTTTTCTCCACATTCGGCTCTATTAAAAAAAGAAAAATCACAGTTTTTAAATCTGAAGCTGCCACAGCTTTTACTGGGCACCACAGAATCTAGGCCCTCTGCTATACTGTAAATGCAACCTGTTAGTTACCAAGTGAGTATTACAGCTTAAGTGCAGGATGGGGTTGAGGAAAGAGGAAAACAACTGCTTAATACGTATTATGAAGAAGTAAAAGCTCTCTCTCGTTAACACAAAAAAGACACAGAAAAATAAATTTTAGCAGTGGATGAGAGAATGAAATTTTGACTCAAAATAATTTCCCACCAATTTCAGTTGATCTAGATTTAGCCAACATTTTCTAAAAAACTACTTATGGATCTTACTTGAATTGCATGCTGCACTAACTGGACTCTTCCATCTTTAAGATGAATCAAACTGACTCCCATCTTTTTCAGTATCTCCAAATGCTCAGGGTTACTGGCCATGAAATCCCGTGCTCTCAGTGGTGGCTTTGGTCCAGTCCCCAAACTCTCTTCTCTGCCAAATAAGAGTAAAGACCAAAGTTTTTATATTGCACATCAAAAGCAATTTTGTACATGAAATGTGCAAGAATTCCAGAGAGGTGTAACACATGCACAGCCATCCAGAGCTGCATTCCCCTATGCATCTCAGACTGAAGTTATAGATGCAATCTGGATAGCAGGAACATTTTTATTCCAAATAATATTAAAAAGGTGAATTTTCAAAACAGCTTAACAGCACAAATGTGTCACCAGGCATACACAATGTTGATCATTTCAATGATTAGGTTGGTAGGATGCCTTAGGGCAGGGGTGGGCAAAATGAGACCTGGGGGCCAGGTGCGGCCCGCCAGGCCATTCTATCCAGCCCCGGGGCCCCTAAAAAATTTAGAAATTTAATATTTATCTGCCCCTGGCTGCCTGTCATGTGGTCCTCGATGGCTTGCCAAAACTCAGTAAGTGGCCCTCTGCCCAAAATAACTGCCCGCCCCTGCCTTAGAGCAGTGATGGCACAGGTAGCTCCTATGTGGCACACAGGAGACTGAGGAGGGGACAGGCAGCACAGTGGCAGACAGGGCAGGAAGCAGAAGGCAGAGTATTAAATCAGACAGGGAGCCCAGGGCAGAAAGCAGAGTAGCAGCTTGGTCAGGAAGCACAGAAAACCAAGCAGTAAGTAGAGTGGTAAGTCAGGGAGGCTATGAAGCTAATTCATGACAAACCTGCAAAAAAGGTTGCCCCCCCACCCCCGGCTTGGAATGTGAACCAGTACTGTTTGCTTTTATAATTGTTCTCATTTTGGTTACTAATAAAAATAAGTTTAATAAAAACAGAAAAGCCAATTTTCCCTAACACAAAGGATAACAAATCATATAAAATGTTTATACATACATTTTAAAAAAGCAAATGTTACTCAGCCTGAGGCTGTTCTCATCTTCATAAATATTATTGGCCAGAAAGGGGTGCATTTTTCAAATGTAATAGAAGATGCTGAAAGATGTTGAATACATAAAGTATTTATGGCAGTAGTAATACTCCATGTGAGGCAAATGCATTCTGGAGGAAGTTATTTTTTCTTTACGCTTTGATTTCAGATCCATTTTGCTTAGTTTATACGCACTATATTTTTCTCTTAACTGTCAGTGCTGAAAACTAACATAAGAAGTGAGATTCATGCTAAGCAATTTTTGCTCTAACTTAGGTGCCAAACAGCTAAAAATTAGCTGCAAGTTTGCTGCCAACGCAAAATAAAAGTGCAGCTAGATTTCTGATAGCTGTACTGTTTATGGAGGGCCCAAAGGACTACAACCTTATAAATAAAGTATATATGGCTCCAATATACCTAGGTGCAGCAAACAGATAAAGAAATTTTAAGTACTTAGCCACAGATGTTTTTCTGGACATTCTTACAGTGACAAAAAAAAATAAAGTATACATCTTACACTCTAGCAATGCCCCTAGGACAGCTCTTATCCACCACATTTTTCAAAGGTTCACGGATACTCTGAGCATACATAGGGTCATTTGGGAAGAGAATCTGGGTATTCGGACATGTCCAGTCAAAATTACTGTCATCCAATTCCGTGTATTCTGTAGTCTATAATGTAGAAAAGCAGAGCAAAAAGTTTCATAAAAGACATTTTTAGTTTATTTTTACACCTCTCAACAGTAGAATATAACATCAAAAATCATTCACACACAGGGAGCATCTAACAGGCGAAATCAGGAAGGTACTATGTGCAATTGCAGTTACTCAGACATAAGTATCAGGGATTTCATTTGCCTACTTGCTTGTTGGCACATAAACAAAATAAATTTAAATATCTGAAGACCAGAGCAGCTCAAGCCTCTCAACTTCAGGTGCAATACTTGTTTTATTCTCCACACCCCAATAGCTCCAATGAAACCCGCCTTGTATCCTAGCATTCCAAAAGCCAGAGTGAAACTAAAACAATTCTACTCTGCTACAACTTGGCAAAGGTGTAAACAAAGACTATCTGAAGACTTAAAAATAAAATAATAATAAAAGAGTCAATATCAGCTTGATATAGTTAATTTTCTGTTGATTTTCTGAGTTGTCTACAATGACTTGACAAATGAAAACCAAAAAATAATTTCTTGTTCCTAGATTTCCATGTGAACAATCACAGGATCCTCCTCTTTCAATACTTAAGCAGTATTGAAATATTCATGTAAACTTGTGGACCCTACTAGGAAAGTCAACTAATTTTGAAGCAAATCATAAGTACATTCCTAATAGCACTCTTTTGGAAGAAAGCAAGTATTTAAAATCATCAAATACACTATTATACTATAAGGTGTGCAGAACAGTTCAGAGCTCAGAACTAGAGGGTATAACAGATTGGATCTGCTCCAGACTCTAAAAATAGTGTTGCTTAATCCCAGTCAAGACATTTAATGTCAACACGGCCCAATATTGCGATCTGTAACATGATACTTACTCACTTATCTTATAGGTCACTTGCATACATTACTAAACTTTAAAAAAATCAAAATCAAAATCAGATATTTAAAATGATTTAGCATAGTGAAGACTCTCTAAAAATCAAATCAATTTACGATCCAAAGTGGTTTCATACTTCATTGGAATAAGTAGGATTAGATACAAAAGAATTAAGGAATATTAACTGCTTAGCACAAAGAATAAGAAATAAGAACCAAAGCACTTTAAAATGGGGGGAGGGGGAAGTCTGTAATGCTGCAGACTGAGGCACAGTTTAAAGTGTCCCCCACTATCTCTGGTAAGAACAAATAGTGAAGCAGAAGGCTGCCTGCCTTGCTACCAAAATTTCAAATGGCTGACACTGTATTTAAATGTATTTTAAGTAGTTCAGCCCCTTGAGACGTTTCTCTTTTGTAATCTAATGCAATCAATCAGACTGATTTCAAAACGACTAATATTTTGGTTTCACTAACGTTATAGCTATTTAACACATTTTTCCTTAACTGAGAAGATGGTGACATCTGTTTTAAAACTGAATCACTTCCCACCTTTCCATTAGTCAAATCTATTAGTAGCTTTGACGGATATGCTAAAGTGATTCTATTTAGTTTGCTTTCATCTTTATCTTATAAAAGTTAATATGGCCACAGAGGGGAAAAAAATAATAATGACGTGCTTCTTCATGCTTCATAGCTGGATTCACCTTCAAGATTACGGAAATGTATTGCTTTCTATACCCATAGCTTAAGCCAAATCCAAAAATCTAATTTCAAAGGCTTCCTAAAAATACCACCATTACTTTAAATGGTTGCTTAAAGCTTGATTAAATATTGTTCTCCAGCTATTTAGTTGGTCTAATAAAAGATATCAGATTCACCCAAAGAACCCTGTCTGACCATTACTTTAAGAAATTAATTATGCAAAGTCTGTCCCTTTTGAATGCGTATTACTTCTTATTTGTACTCACCTGTCTGTATTTCTGAAAAGTTGAGACAAACAAACCTTTCTGGGGAACTAAGGAGCAATAAACAATGTGTACTGCCTAAGAGGAACTTTAACACTGTTAGACAAGATTAACAAGTGATTAGGTTAATGCGTACAAGAGTATTATTTCTTGGAATCCCATCTCCAAATCACGGTCTTTAAGTCTCAAGAGCAGTATTTCCTTTAATTTTCAGTGTTGGAAGCTCCCCAACACAGCTGTGAAGCCTCTCTTGAATTTGCAGCCAACAGAAGTCTCTTTGGACTCAGCTCTGCACAAATAGTTTGAGACAGTGTCCTATTTAACATTTTTCTTATTGAGCCTGGAATTATTCAATAGCACACACAGAAAAAAGGGTCAAAATAATGGCACATTAACCCAGCACTCCTGTGTTCTCTTTCATGTGCCTATTTAGCTTGTCAGCTGAATTACTGGTAAGCTAGGATAATACAAAAAGCAAACGGAGAGCACTGTTTAAGATAAAAATCACCCTGACAGTTGTTTCACAAAGTCCATACCTACTTTCCCCTCTGGAAATTGATTAAATGTTGAGTAATCTGTATGTCCACTGGTATGCTCACATAGTTATTTAGTGGAAAAATGGTACATATATCCTGAAAACAATATTTCCCAAACCAGCATAACAATAATTTTCCTTGTATAGTAGACAAGCAATTCAGCAGGTCTAGTTCTAGGTAGCCACATAGAATTCCTGTGCAAAGGCTTTGGTTTGAGTTCATAAGGAAAAAATAAAAAAAGAGGAAGCTTCCCAAACAGTATAACTGCTGAAGAGTCCTCCAGAATGGTGACAAACTATGAGGCCTGTCCAAAGTACTTTTTGGAGATGAGGCTTATCATGAAGACATTGTTAATACAATAAACTAGTAAGCAGAGTTCCTTCTGCTACTGCTGTCTAGATTAGCAGTCAATACTTCTCAGATTAAACAGATGAAAATACAATTACTGTCTTCCTCACTAGGAGGAGTCCCTTAATACATACACACCCTCTGCAAAGCCAAATATATTTGCTTCGCTGGGACGGCAGCAGTTTGAGCTGGGGCGGAGCAGCCCCTGGATGGCAGGGGGCACAGGGGTCAGCCCCAGGCTCCAGGTAGCAGTGGGGCTGGCTGGGGCATGAACGTGCTAAAGTGTGGGGGCTGCCTGTTAGCCATACGGTTTTGCACTTTAGCACCCTCATGCCCTAGACAGCCTGTCACCATCTACACACGAGTTTCAACAAAAATAATCTTCTATAATGCAGGTTAAAATCTGCCAGAAGTAATAAGAAAAGAAAATAAATGTGAACTATGCAAAAGTATTCTTTAATATTCTTTTTAAAGTGCTTATAGAAATTTTAAAAATACTTGCCTGACTTTTTTTAACACACAAACAAAACAAAAGCAAACAAACAAACATGTTCTGCAGCCTTTTTGTAGAGATACAGGCTGACGCAAATTATAAATCCTGAAGAAAAGTTTAACCATTGAAAAGCTGATGTCCAGTGTTCACTGCAATTACTGCTGTGATAAAACAACTTGTATAAAAACAGTTTGCTCTTCTTGAACACCCTCCATGCATCTCATCTCCTTATGCCCACTTTAAAGATCTATTAAAATTGATATAAACATGTAAGAAAGACCACTTACTAAATTTTTCTTTGAGATTGTTTGATTTGTAGTAGAGAGCCAAAGAGGTAAGAGATGAGCCTCTGTAGTGAAGATGTAATCTTCTATATCAAATACCATATCTTCCTTATCAGCAAAGAGCAGATAAAGATATTTAAACATCTCAGCCAGGAAGAAAGAGTCCATTCTATGGAGAGACAGAGAGAGAAAGAAAGAAAGAAAGATAAGATATCCTTAACATACAAATATTTTCCAAACAAAAAAAGTTTCTCCAAAACAACTGCCCAGGACTTTCCGTTGCTGAAGAGAGTATTAAATACACATAACACATGCAGATTCTCCTTCATATTTTATAATTAAGTTAAATATAATTGCACACATTTTTACCTGTCCTCATGGCTTCCAGTACGAACATCTTTCATTGCAGCAAATCCACAAGGTACTCTAGCATATTTGTTTAAGTTTTCAATAAGCGTTTTTCCTACTTCTAGGTAGTAAGGATCCCCAGTAGCCTATTTTAAAATAAAAATTGCATTTGGTGTTATGTAAAATTTATTGCTGTTACTTTCAGAACTGTTAGCCATGTTCTTGTACTTTGCCATATTATGCACTAAAAATAAATATGGCAACATACTGCAAAAAACTCTTATTTAGCAAAATGAAACAATTTAGGTTCTTTTGACTATTCAGGTGTGAACATAACTCTACTTTTATGTTCTACTCAGCACTGACAGACTTAAGTGACTTAAGCTCTCCATGTTTTAGGGGTGTTGGTAAGACCATGTTGGTCTAAGGACATACACAGAGATCTTCCCAGAACCACCCATGCTAGCCTTTAAACAAGCACAGAACTTAACCAATCTCATCGCCAGAAGCAAACTTCCTATGGCCCAAAGCACACCAAATGGATCCAGACGATGCCAGAACAAGAAATATAAAACCTTCCAACACATCTCCATCACTCCCACAATAACTATAATCCCACAACAGAACCATCACCATTCCTGGATCTTACACCTGCACCTCCAGAAATGTACTACATCTCATCCAGTGCACTAAATGCCGCAACGCATTGGCAACACGTAGGGGATGCACATGCGCCCCCTGAGCATGGCAGTGCACACCCTGCGAGGTGCCATTGACACTGCTGCTGCCTGCAGGAGCTCCACACTTGCCGCCGCCTCACTCCAGCCACCGACAGTGCTACTTCCACCTGCGGGAACTCATCGTGTCATCCCAGCCTCCAGGGGCACACAACGTTCATGCCCTGATGGAAAATATGTAGGAGAACCCAAACAACAACTGTGTACCAGAATGAATGCCCACTGACCAAAGACAAAAATTACCAGTTACCTGTGGATACACACTTCTCACAAGACAACCACTCTCCCTCTCTCTCCAATCTCTCAGTTGGAATCCTCAAAGGAAATCTACAAAACACCTTTATTACACAAGCCTATTAACTTGGACTAAATCATGGGCTAAATATAGACACTGGATTTATGGCACATTATATGGCCTGCCATTATGGCATACTATATGGCCTGCCATCAGATAACCCCAGGTAACCCATCTACATTTTACTAGCTACATTCTATCACAAGGTCAACAACCCCCTCTTTTCCCTCCCCACCTACTGTCTCCCATTGCCTCTTATTCTTGCTGCCCACATACGCAAAAAGCAGGTCTGTGAAAATGCAGGTTAGCTTCTATTCAATCCAGAAGAACACAAAACAGCAGCAGACTCTTCCTATGCCTGAAGGAGGGTATTTGTGCCCAAAAGCTTGCAGAAACCAGTTCTGCCAGCTATTTAACTGGTCTAATAAAAGATATCACATTTACCCAAAGAACCTTTTCTGCTTTCAGCTCTTCAGTCATCTATGTTAAGCTGATCAATGCCTTCAAAAATCTGGCCCTTGGGCCCCCAAACACTGTTCATTCTAGCCTTCTGAGGTAAAAATACTCAAACCATTTCTAGTAATCAAATGTGCCTGCAGCTTGCTTCCTGGCATATTTAATTTTTTGATAACAGTGGATGAAGTGAAACCAAGTTCCACTCTTTCAGCATTAGATTATGGCACCAATTTACATCTGAATCTAACTGTCTGGCACAGAGATAGGCTGGATGTGGCACGCCAGGCCATTCTATCCAGCCCACAGGGCCCCTAAAAAATTTAGAAAATTAATATATATCTGCCCCTGGCTGCCTGTCATGTGGTCCTTGATGGCTTGCCAAAACTCAGTAAGTGGCCCTCCACCCAAAATAATTGCCCGCCCCTGGTCTAGCAGCTAAAAACAAAAAAAAAGAAAAGTGATCTCACCTTATATAAGAAATAGGTGCTTTCCGCAAACTCTGGCCTTAAAGGATGCTGAGCCCAGTGAACCCTGAAATCTGTTGTGAAAGCCTGAGGAGGGAGGGGGAAATAGATGCAAGCATAAATATTCACAGGGTGATTTGGAATGTAGACAAATAGTTTGGCACCAAGTAGCAGTAGCACATACTTCTGATCAGAAATACTTCTGTGCAGTGGCACAATCACACCACTCTTTCTGACCATGCAGCAGGAATAGTGGCTCAAAACAAGTCCTGCAGAAGGTAAGCACTCTCCATCACCCTTCAACTCTGTGCTCAGAGGTGCATTCCTTCCCCTCCCATTCCCCCTCACCCCCACCTTGCCTGCCATTGCTTGTGTCCCTGCTGTCCTGGAGAGGAGGGGAGTTCCTTACCCAGTCCAGCCAGGTTGCATAGGGACACAGCCACTCGCAGTGGTGGAAGGTGAGTGGGTTTCCACTCCCTGCCTGCTCCTGCCAGGTGTTCCCCACTAGCCTGGAGCAGGCATGGGGAAGGAAACCTACCTACCAACCACTGCTGCTGCCGCCCTAGGCTGACCCCAGCCCCCACAGCCTGGCTGGAGTGGGATAGGATGCCCCAAAGAGGATGCAGACAAGTAGGGATACCAACTGCAGCAGGCAGGGGAGGGGACATGCTTCTAAGCATGGAGAAGTGAAGGGCAGGGAATGTTTACCTTCTTTGGGACTTCAAATTAATCTGAACACTACAGCAAGATGAACCAAAGCAGTTTTAAAAAAATAAAATAAAATGATATAAAATGTAAGTGATTATTAATAGCAATAGTTTCACAGTACTGAGCTAGTTAAATTGTGTTTAACAGGAATACTTTATGCTTCCACAACACTGCCATTACATATAAGGGACTGTAGGCTGCAGAATAATCTTGGAAAAAAAAAAATCAGCCTTTTTTTTAAAATTAGAAATATGTCCAATATTTTTCCAGATGAACAGCTGATATTACTCAGATCAAAACAGTTTACATGATCTAAACAAACCTACTGCCTTACCTCAGGAAGAAAGTTATGCTTTTTTATAACCTGATATAACATCTCATGAGTTTCTATAGCAGGTCTAATGTCACCTTTCAGTACCTAGAATTCAAGAACATAAAGATTAAAATCACAAAAAAGTACATTTGCAGTATTGTCACAAACACACAGTAATTTCTATATTTGTAGCACACAACACTAATCCAGTAAATTAAGGCCTTCTGTTTCAATAGAAAACAATTTTTTTCCTTTAAAAAAACCCCACAAAAACCAAACAAAAACCAAAAACAACTTTGTATGGAGTTAAGAGCTAGAAAAGGGACTGATTCCCTGGGACCACCATTTCATACTAGCTCCATCTGTCCTCTGAGAAAGGGAATACAGCTATTGAAACTGATCTACTAGGTTTAAAAGAAATTTGGCCAAGCCTGTGCAATTTATAAAATATTTGTGGCATAAAATCTGAAGACTGGGCTGTTCCCCTTCAGTTGAGATTTCACCATGAGAATTGCTATTGGAAATTCAAAGGACAAAAAGTTATTTGGGATTTAAGAAGAGCAGGAAATCCAAAATAATTTGTGAATATGCAGGTCTAATTGATTACAGAATGGACTAAAGAATGGGCAAGTCTTCCTAATACTTAATTTGGGAACTAGTTGCAGGTAAACAAGAAGCTGTTATTATTAGGACACATACATTTTTACACCAATTTGCTCTCAGTAGAGGGAAGGAATACAACAGGAAGTTAGATTCTCACAAGAGGTCGCTACAAGTGACCATTAGAGAAGAGATGGGGACAGGGAAGGGAAAATTAACATCAGAAATAATTTATCCTTGAATACTATGCAGTAGATCATGGAGGAAAGGCAAGCAGGGGAACTAATAAGGAATGCTAGCAGCTTCTAAAAGAAAAGGAAATCATTTAGGGAAGCCCGACAGAAGTAACACGTATTCACAGAAACCATTAGGGCTAGTGTGGTTTAGTATGAAAAAATGTAAACTAAGAGTTTGATAAGCCTTAAAACTGTTAGGTTTCACTTCTCAAATGTGAGCATTCAAACTGTCAACTGGACAACTAGGATCCCTAAAACTGAGAACTAGGGTTTGGGTAGTATGACCTTGAGATTACTT